AAAAAAAATGTATAATTAAGCATATGAAGTGAAAATAATAATTTAAAAAAATGGACACTGTATATTGTGAGATTACCTATTATTTGGTGATAACCTTTTCCATCAACTCCAACAGTTGGGGGAATAGCATGAAAGTACCCATTTACATATGTATCTCTGTCATGCAAAGGCAAAGACTTGTGAACCTTTTCACCGCATGAATGGCACATAAACTGTTTTAGGCACTCCATAAATCGTATACAGACTTTGCCTTCCAAACAAATGCTGTAAATGTCTGGAGAGGGGAAGCCCTCACAGCTAAGGACTGCCTCTATTAGCCACTTCCTGATGTTGTCCCAACTAGAGGTCAAATTAGACATTCGTGTTTCCCAAGTTTTGGAAGATGCAATTTGAAATGTGGGAAGAACCTCTTCACATTTCACAAGTGCAGCTTCGAGGTCATCTATGAAACAAAAATAATATTTAGTCACAATGTGCATCAATAGATACTGGTACATTCCAACTCTTCTATTCATGACCATAATTTTTTAAAATAATTTAGCACCCCTTCTTTTAAATGCCAGTTAGTCTGTGATTTCACCAACTTTCTTTCTGACAAAGATTGAGACCTGGCAACATGGAAAATGAAATGTGCAACCCTATTAAAAATAAACTCTCTTTCTTTACACTCCCCACTTACTTCATTAAATCAAGTTGTCCCAAGAATGCCTTATTAAAGAAGCTTAAGGTGATTCCTCACATTTTGTGCAACCCTCACTGCGGATAGTTGATAGCATCATTTGCGCATGCTCGTGCACGTACACACTGAAAATATAGTAGATTTGCCTTGATATTGAGATCTATAGATGGATAATAGGCTACAGCTCACTAATGAGCACAGGGACCCCAATTTTTCCCAGCCATTATTAGCAATTTATCATTACCTTTGCATGAGAAACGATTGATCTCATTAAAGTGATTGATCTACATTAAAGTGGGATGTTGTGAAAAACAGTTGTATTGCAGGTGTTTGGACAAAAGAACATTCTTTCCCCAAAAAAACTTTCGCTTGACAATTGATGGTGGTGACATCTCATGACATGTAGGTTATACATCATCATCTCCCAAATATAAACTCCGACCGCAATCTATAAGGTTTGAGTCAATTAAAACTTGCATGAGCTTTGTTAAGGCAACATGGCCAGCAGCTTGTTTGGAACATTGGATTAATCATTCTAGTAAATTTAAGGCGTTTTGACAATTAACTGTATTCGTTAATTTTAGGGGGATATCGCGTTGCAAAAGATAAAAATATTGTAAATTCACCTTCTTCTGATGGCCGATACTTGTGCTTGTATTTCCTCAAACCAGTGGTGGAGTCCCTATAAAATTCCAAATCACTCCAGCCTTTTTTTCCTCTTCCGTGATATTTCTTTTTCTCCAAGCAAACTTGTTACCTCGTGTAATCTCGAGCATCGAGATCATCTTTGTTCTTGGACGCCTTCTTCGCCGCCATTTTTTACTTTGTGACTTCCGCTACCTTAGTATCTCCAGTCTACCATTGGACTCACGGTCATCTCGATGTTGAATGGTTATACTTCGTTTTGTCACATTTGAGAAGTTATGATAATCCTTCATTCGGGGACGAGATCGTGTTGGTGAGAACAGTACAACATCGAACTGAATAGTCGTGATCTAAATTTGAGCGATTATTTCTTCACTTCAGAAGCCTAAAACATTCATTTCCCCCTCAGCTCCCAGACATGGAGAGTTAATATTCTGATTCTGGAAAAATTCACCTCGGAAGCGATGGGTAATTAACTGCGAAATGTGGCCATAATTCCGACCATTTGTTTTAATACCACGATCGAGTCACGATGGATGCAGCCTACTTTTCGAAGGCAATACCTACCAATTTGTTGAGGTTGTCATGGATTTCAGCAATTCGGTTATTACAAAAATACTGAAGCTAGCCTTGAAGCCGGGCTGCAAAGCGGGTAAGTTGTATTTATGACGAAATCTTCTCCAGCAGTTCGATTTTGGTGTAGGTGATGAAATCGCGAATGCTCGTACATGTACTGATTCAAACGGTCATAACTTTTGAAAAATCGAAAACGTACGGGGGTTTATGCATTTTTTTTGCCTATAAAGCTCTAAAATTAACGGCTGAGTAGGATAGAGCTGTCAACCAGGTCCCAAATCCCAAAACTTAACGTCTAAATCAAGTTTATTTACGGCCATCGGCCGATGGCGATTTATAGAGGTCAGAATATGCTAGAATTCGCCTTTTCAGATATATTGAGAGGTCAAATTCTAACTTTCTTGGCAAACTAGAAAATTTTTTAAGCAATCTGATACAAATTCGGTGGCTTAACTATGCGAATCAAATATTTTACAATGTTACAAAATATGCCTATTTTTCAATTTTCGAGACGTTGCCACGGTCCCTACGGACTGGGAAATAACTATGGCCCCTAACGCAGTCAGAAAATTATTTTGAATCAAACCAAACGTAATTTAGTTCGTTCCTAAGTAAAGTCTTTCTGTTGACAGAGTTTCAGGAAAAATTATTTTTGACGCGAAATTGACCGGGTGGAAATAAGAGAGACAGCCTCTTAAGGACTCGAGTATGAAGTGGAATGAAAACACCACAATATACTAACGGTGTTCATCATGTGGTAGCTAGCATAGATCAGCTCGGATATTCAGAATAACTCAAGTTGATGTTGATAGCTCATGCTTAGCAAACTTGTGTAACTGTTTAAGTTGAGAGGGAAACAGTTTAATCTTAGACGGAAAGAGCACAATAAGGAACCAATCTTCAGGCGTGTAAGAGAGAAGCGAAAAATATAAGGCGCTGTCCAGAGATGCTTTATAACGGATTCCCACATGATTCGGTGAACGTTTTTAACTCGAAGCAACGCAGGTGTTGTTACCACTTTCAGGCTTAACGAGTCAAATAGTTTTTTACGAAAGCAAGCACACGTACGTTTGGCGTTAAAAATCAAGATAGCCCATATAAAGCCGCCCCCTGCCGTAAAAAAATTCGATTTTTTTTGTTTGGGGCAGCTGTACACATGCTAAATAAAATCAAGAAGGATTTACATTGATAAAGAGATTCTAAGAATTAAATTTCACTGAAAAAACATAAATCTACGATGAATTAGCTAGGCGACAGGGACAGCTAAGATAACAATAGTTTTTCATCCTCAAACTTTAATCTAGCCCTGTCAAAAGATACAAAGAAGAAATATTGCATGTTTACCTCAAGAACAAAAGCGTTTTCGTGGGTCATGAATTAAAGGTACCCGCAACACAAAGCTCTTAATGATTGCATTCTTTTGACTTTTTTCTTTTATCTTTCACAAATTGGAGGAACAAAACCTACGACTTATTGGCGCCAGAAAATATGAATACATGTCTAATATCACCTGTAGAGAAATCATGAAAACAGTGATCTTTAGTTATTGGACAGTCAAATCTAATACAAGTTTGATGTTGAACAACAGTTAAGGACGTTCCTCGGCGTATGCCAGTTTCAACTCATTGTCACTATTCTAAGTTCATTTGATCAGTTTGATGAGCTCAACTCGTCAATGAAACAGGCTGTTCAATAAATCACCTTAAGGATTCAAAGAAAAGAATGATAAATTATTTTATTCACTTAGCTCTATAAATAATTGACTTTTTTTATGTATGAAGCCATGTTTTGGATTCAACAATTATTGCACGGATTCATCAAAACATTGGATATGAGCGCTACTCATATTTGCCGTCGTTCTAAAAATGAGCTGTGTGTAGGAAAGAGTTGCTATCTGCCGAACAAGGTAGGCACATTTATTATTCACACCAAAAAAAGACCCTCTTTCTTTACAACTCTAAACCCGTGATTTCATTTTTTTTATATATTATTCAAATGAGCAGAATGTGCAGAAAATCTGGATAAAGTACCAAGGTATTTGCAAAACAGGTTTTTTTTTTTTTTTCATTTGGGCCATACGTCGCATGATACCTTGCCCTGAAATTCAGTCTACAAACGACTATTGTGAAGGAGGAAAAAAAAAAAAACAGCCCACTTGTAAACTGGACCTACACTGAAAGTGGTGAGCGAGAGAACCTTTTTAAAATTTACTTAATTCACTTATTCATTTACTTTTGGCAAAATCGCATACTTTTCAAAATGTTCTTCTAAGGTTTTGAGTTATTTTTTAAGAATCTTCCGTTTGTTAATTAAACGCAAGGATTGTAAGGTTTAACTGCTAGACTCTTCGCTTCCCCCAGGAAAAAGGCTTTCAGAAGAATGCATTGACTATTGAAAAAGATGATGTAATTATATAGCTAGAGGGTGAATTAAGTCCGAGATTTGACAATAAGCCTTAAAACAGGGAGCCTTAATGAATCTGCTGTTTGTGGCTAAAAAGCTATTTTCTGCAGGTAATAATATAACTAATTATGGGCGAAGGCAACAATCGTATACCGTTTAAGTTCACAACCTAAGTAAAACAAATTCAAGTATTCCGCATAGTGGTTTGCTTTCAAATAAGACAGCTTGTCGAACAGAGAACTAACAATAGTTCAACTAATTCATGCTAAGTTTGAGAAAATAGTACCTTGTCGTTCCTGCCTGTAAGTAAGTTGAAGTGAGTAAACCTCAGAGTGGAAATCTTTTTTTGTTGCGGGGACCCATTTAGTAAAGTACTTTTGTCAATGGTTCTCATTTAACGTTAGAAACAATCTTGTACACTAAAAATTACTTAGATCTTTGCCAAACGAAACTGGTCAAAGTTTTTCGATTTCTACCTCTAAATTCATCAACCATGGATGGCTGAAAGAATCTGAATTGACAATGACAAGCTTCGTTCAACAGTCAATACTATGAGCACTGGAGAATGACACGCTTCAGTTCATATTATTTATCTTTGGGCACCACTGCCAAACTGCTAAGATATTAGCCTGAGGTCTCGAGAAAGCGTTGCGAAAAATTACCAAGAAATAGCTTGACAGCGAGGCTACATCGAAACAAGTAACAAATTTCCTGCTTGTAGAGTAGAGTAAACATCTATATTTATACAGGATAGCCCCTTCAGTGTAGTAAACACTGGTATCAACGGGGGTCCTGTTACCCACCCATCCCATACCCACCCATCTCACCCCAGGGGAGGACATCCATCACAAAGTAATCTCGTGCGTGGAGAATTAACATCTCCTGCCCCTAAACCAGCAGGAGACGGGTCCTCTATTTATTCGTCCCTATCCGAAAAGACTAGAGTGTCTAACCATTTCTTGATGTTTTAGAAAGGTAGCATATTCTTCTCAATTATTTTAAGACCCTGAGTGTTTGTCCGGCCGGGGCTCGAACCTTCGACCTCCCGCACAACAGTCCAGCGCTCTATCCTTTGAGTTAAATGGGAGGCGGTTAAGAAGACTATGTGATTTTTTAAACTAAGACGCCCCGTAGCTGGGGCGTCTTAGTTTATTTAACGCCAATTATCCTGAGCCTCGATGGGAAAATGAAAGTTAAACTTTGGTTTCTTTAATAATATTTAAAACAGACTAACGACTCAATAATTCTGTCCCATAGCTACGTGAAAACTGCAAATTAAAGATAACGTACAATCAAATAAATGCCAGGAGAAAAAGAGATTATATGAATGACACAGTTTGTGTCCTAATACACAATTTCAAATAAACCAGAAAGCGGCCGTAAATGTAAAAAACCGTAAAGCGGCCGTAAATGGAAGCAAATGTCGTAAAATGAGGAAGGGAAGTTTTTGTTGAAAGCAAGCTATTGCTCGTGAATTGCCCATTAGATTGTTCATTGGGACGTAGTAGACATGAAGTTGCTATTACTGACTTGACTATTTGGAGTTCAAAATCCTGCGAACTTGAACAGTTTAAGATAGCCCGAAGTAGAAAATCCCTTGTACGACTTTTTAACTTCAGTGAAGGCAAAACCGTTTCCTTATAAAACGTGGGCATTACGGGAGAGTCTTGCCCTTTTATGTCCTTGTGCTTCAGCTGTGTTTACTACTTGCAATAGTCTTATAATAAGTGATAAAAGAGACATCATAACTTTACTTTGATCAAATATGCGAGGTTACAAAAGCTTAATAAGTCCCAACGCCGAACGAATGTTGATTCATATTCAAAGGTCTTCAAAGTAAGTTGCCGAGCGGAAAAGTACACAAATATGATAAAGTTTACTTAAGTCGAATGTTTGTTTGTATTATGATCCTCAAAGCACTGGCGATGGCTCTTGCTTCAATTTCATAAGGCCACACTTTCTATCCTTTGGTTTGGAAAAAATAAAGTCAGGCCATTTCATTAATAAATATCAGTAAATAATTCCTCTACTTCCCTTTTACGGTAGCTAGAACCGTTAGGATTCTTGAACTTTAAAATCCAATTCGCAAACTAATTACATCTATTCAAATGACGCTAATTTTAACTACAGCTTTATTTGCACTGATTGCCATCTCTTACTGCTTTCTTTAGTCGGCCGCGAAATTAAACGAAGTAAACTAAATTCGTCTCCAAAGCAGTTGATACTTTACCGCCTCGCCGGATGAAATCTCCTCTCAAAACGACAAACGGTAACAACTTTTTTTCTTTCCAATTAATTTAATTTTAAGAATTTTAATCTCAAATGATTTTCGGAGGCTTTTTTCAGTTTAGGGATGCATGAAGAAGACACTCAGTCGACCCCCAGAGCGAAACGTTTCGTTTTCTTGTAGCTCTAGGAGCTAGGGACGAAAAAAGTGTTTCACCACAGTGTGTTTGTGAAATCGATCCCGGTTTTCGAAGGCGATTGATGGATCCACAACGGCTGCAACCACATCCTCTTAGCGAATTCATACATACTTTGATTATCTCTATCAGGCCATTTGCTATGCCAATTCTAGCTATGTTTGAGACTCACTCTCGTGAACGGGAGAGTCAGCCAACAACAAATTAAACGACCTATGAGTGCTTTGGACGAGTGGCTGATTAGTCTTTCTCAGTTGTCAACTTTCCAATCATAGAGACCGACGATGTTAAAAAGATATCATATTCAGTTTCTTTCTCGTTCGGTGAGAGGATTTGATAATGATCGCGAGAACCAAATGAATGGATTATTTAAACATTATAACAATTACTACCAACTAAGATTTCAAGTACATTAGGATTAAATTCGGGAATTGCCCAGTTAAAAGATCAACGTTATTTTGGTGATGCACGATGTTTTATTGAACTGCTTGAGCCTAGTTTTGATCGCTATTCTGTCTGGAGTGAACTGGAACACATGGATGGTGTTACCACACTTGGTGTTGACCAAGAGCGATGATTAACTTTTGCCGCTGCCGTTCTGTGCACGGAGACGAAGTCGAGGTCCTTCAAAACGCAAAGAAATCGAGGCAAAAAACTACGAACTCTGTTAATCCGCTCACGCAACGTTTCAACTTGAGTCATCTCAGCGGGCAAGATGGTCCTGGGTAGCCAATCAGAACAAAGGATTAGCCTATATCTTGCCCACGGGCAATTAATAAATACGCATATGCCGTTATGGTAACAAGAAGAATGGTAAATACTCATTATCTATTCGAGAATTGGTCGCAAGGAAGTCTTAAGGACTGTTCGAACAAGATTAAATTTTGAGTACGAACACGTACGGAATGTTCGAATGGGGCCTATTGCCTGCGACGGCGAAGAGTTGCGTGTATTCTAAGGGCGTTGTGTGATTTGGCGACTGAGGCATATTAAAGAAGTGTTGCCCGAGAAACGAGATCGACATTTTAAATAGAGCATGGAATAAACGTTTAAATTGGCCATCCTATTTGTGTTTCTCATCTTCGTGAGCCTCATTGATTTTATAGCTGATTATGTGAACTGAGCATCATTAAACCAATTATAATCTTCTTCGCCATGAACACATAATTAAGAGTTATGACATTTTCAACGTTAATTTTAATCTATATCCCTGAGATCTGTGAGAAAACTCACCTCCCACCAATGAAAGGGTTTTCCAATAGGATATGGTCAATTACGACGCAAGGTAACTAACAACACAGGGCAACTAACACACTCAAAAGGAGAAACAAAAAATTAACAAAAAAATAGGACCACTACCTAGTAACGCAACAAACGACACGGTAAGTGCAGATTTAATACTAGGGTACGCGACTGGGTAAACACTTAAATGATGTTGCTCAATAAGATCGCAGTTTTGAGAAAGCTGTTGATCTGTGATGATCTGCTTCCGACTAGCGTGAACTGGATCGAACATAAAAGATACGAGTCTAAAAAACCAGCAGGTGTCATTTTATGACTCGTTAATCTTCAAATTACTTGAAATGCTTCAGGCGTATTCCCCAGCGTGCAGCTGAAGAAGAATTCATCCAGTGATGTGTTTGCAACTCTCGATAGACAGCTAGCACAAGCATAGTTCTTATTAGAAACAAATATTCATGAAGCAACATCTGAGTGCTAAAGTTGAAACCTCAAAATTACCCTCAGGATTAGTCGGCTGTGTATATAACCAGCGGCAAATCCTACCGCCAACAGAAAAACATCTTCATGTGCATTTTATTGAAACTAGTTAACCTATACAAAAGCCTCATTATTTGGCTTTGCTAACAACATTTGCCTTTGTCAAACCTTATCCTTATTGACCATTCGACAAAAATTAGGTGACAAAAAGTTTTAGGTATAAAATTTATTCGATGGCAATGGGTCACTCCTTCTTAGAAACAGGTTCATTTGCATGCATAAGCAGAGGGCTTTGGACAGTTACAACTATTATATCGGTGCGTTGGTTGTTTTCTCAACTGTTATCTACATTTTAATATTTCAGTTTTCCAAAATGAATGAGTTGGTTAATTGCGTTGGCATGGGCTGCGAGTGACCAGATGTTTCTAGACGATGGAGCAAATATTTAAGTTCACATCTTTACCAATTTGGTTTGAATGAGGCCAACAAAAATCGAATATTCAGGCTAAAAATTCTACATTACTGAGCTGTTTTTGTGTTTCATTTCTGAGTCATTAATAACCGAATGATTTCGTGTCGTTTTGATTCGACAATGAATGACAACTGGCCGGATTACCAACAAAATCTACAAAAGTCCTGAAAAATAACATTAAAAAGGCAAATTTGTACGGCGGGTATAATATCGTTACATCGGATCACGAGCGATTTCGTTATTCCTTTTTTTAAAAGTTGTTTCTTGTTAATCCAAGGCTCCAGAAGTTAACGCATTGTTACGAGAAAAAAGATACCCCACTGAGAAAGAAATAAAATTCATCGGTTTTTAGTCTTCCGATCTTTTCAAAAACTAAAATAACAGATGCTATTATGTCGATATATCACACAACTTGATTTAGCGACTTATTACAATATTCGTTAGCAAGAATATTACAGTGCATGCAAGAGGCAAGTAGCTGATGGGTGTATTATTGTCCATCTGATTGTGAAATGAGAAGACCCTGTGAGCTGTGCGAACTAAGCACTCCTCAAGTTAGCTTTTAAACTCTTCTGAAGTGTCATTATGGTAATAAGTACTATTATTGATACTCTAGTCATTAATGCCTCTCAGTAGTTCCCGCTGGGCGCAAAAAAATTACAAAATTTGTTTGCTTTTTGAATGAAAGCTACAAAAACACTGTGACTAGCCGATGTGTGTGAAATAAGGCGCCTTGAGATTCATAGCTCATCCTGAATTCGTATCACCAGAGGCTCAGTTGGCGAAGATCATCACGGTAAGAGGAAATAAAACTGAATAACTAAAAAAAACTCTGCACATTTAGGGTGCAGAGGGTTTTACAGTAGACATAACTATGAAGGGGAAAAAAGCGTTTAAGCCGCGGTTTCCAAGTTAACATATTTGGCTTGTGTTTTCTTGCGTGGTTTCATTTACAGGTAGTTTTCATTTTCATTTCTTCAGTGAGAATATTTACAAGTGACACCTATTTAAGATATATGTCAACTATGACATTTTTCCAAACCACCATCAGTGAAGACAAACATTATTTACTTACACGACCATTGCAACGTTACGTGCCGTCCGAGCTACTAAAATTTAATTGATTTTCTATAGAGGTCTTCATTTACAGTGCCAACCAATACTGTTCACGAACTAAACTTGAAGCATAGGAGCAGGACTCATACTCTGTAAAACACTTCTCATGATAAATCAGTCAATGATGGTATACACAGGTTTTTAGTACACGCTGGACAAGAGATTAAAAACGTGATGCACCTTGCACAAAGTATTCTTAATTAATAGATAGGAATAGACTAAAACAGGTATAACGAAAAAAAAAGCGTATTTAAGAAAGATACCAGATTGTAGAATAGTAGTGTGCTGCGCAAACACGAGCATATCCGTGATGAAGAACGACCGGGAGATCTCGAGAGCGACACAGAGAAATGTTCAGCGTAATGAAAACACAGTGTTACGCCCGTTAATGGTTGTGTTGTTGAGTCAAAATACCGAAGTAAAGGGAGCTTGAGATATTTTTATCGACACGTTTCTGTCGAAATCATGAATATTCGGTTGTTTGAAATTCTCTCCCATTAAAATCTTTACCTTAAGCATATTTCATCTTTTCGGTCTCGAGGTATCGTAGCAACCAGATGTTTATCAAACGATGGTATCTGTAATGACGAATGTTGAATTCAGTTGAGAGATAGAGCAGTCATCCCTGATATAATTTTCATCGCTTTTATGGTTTTCCCACGCCTCCACGAATAAGCTAAAAAGATAAATATAGAAAGCTCATTCGCTGCTTGAAAAATCTCTTATCTGGTCAGTCTAACGCTTTCATTTTACTTCCCGAACAGTAGTGTACAGAGACTTAGTAATATTACTGAACCTTATGGTGAGTGACAACAAGATGTGCTCCCAGTTTGTGGGCATGTTGGTAGTCAATTTTTTAGGACCTCTCTATAACATTTTCGGCTTTATCTCTTACGTTATAACTAACCGCTTTAATCGGCAATACGAGTCAGAGATGCTAAATTTATTTCTCCACAATGACAGAAATCATCACGACGACTTTGAATAAAGTTCTTTCTTGACTAATATTTACACCTGAGGTAACGCTAATATTATTTTCAAACAAATTTTTGTATTTAAATGATACCTAGATAAGTTACAGGAAAACTAATATCTCCTAATATAGCTCTTTCTATTGTTTAAAACAGTCTTGTCCACTTGAACCCAACATAATCTACGGAAAAATTGGAAATTGATTACGTGTCTGTTATTTTCTCCCATTTGGCTCTTTCTGGAAGATGTGGTTTGTAAACAAGAAGAATGATTTCACAGCACTATGCGATTTTTATGGATTCTGATTCGACAAAATTGTTAATGAGAACTGGCGGTAAACCTAGCCTTGACCGATCCAACAAACACCACAAACGAATAATTAGCCTAGCGTGCCACCTAACATAAACGTAGTTGGTTTTTTTGAATTAATTCATCGACTGAGGAAACCCCACGGCTTTCCTCAAAACATGCCGGTGGATTCTTACGAATCATATGGTTTTCTTTCAGGTCGGTCGGAACAGCAAAGCTCTGTAAATTGGAGGCTACTTGTGGCCGCAGCTGTCTCGCTGTTAGCCATCTAAAACAAGATTTTTGTGGCTGGAGCTAATCGAGACAGGCCCGTCAGCCGCAGGTGTGTTGAAATACAAACTTTTAACGCGTGTAGAGCCCGCTTAGGATGTTCAACATCGTGTCTGGCAAAGAAGACTTTTTTTATATTCTCTCGGCTTACTCTGATTCAAGATGAATAATTCGGCATCCGAAATTATTCCGATCTTTTTAAACTCATTCGCCGACACCAGCAATTACTAATCTAGCAAAATCAAGCAACTTTACCTCATCTTAATCCTGATTTATTTCTGATATACACTTGTACCTGCTGATACATTACAGTGAGATATCTGTACAATTTTGAAATCATAACCAATAACACGATTTTGATATTTGCGTGATAAGACTAGCACGTCATATGTAGCTTCTAGTCAAAGACAAATTGTATTTAATATTTCATGATATTTTACGTTTCATACGTCAAAATTTGTCTAAACCGCACAGGGCATGATACATGAATCGAAAACAAAGGACGATTTAGTTTATTTAAAGCTGAGCACTTCCTCTTGGATTAACCGTGTACCGATCATATATAATCTACCAATTCAATAGGTAAGCGGGGATCAAACAAGCGTATCTTTCTGATTCAGCTGAAATATGTAGTAATAAGTCTGGAAATATACACTCCTCTCCACATGAATCGAAAGTTACACAGAGAAAAGTTTTCGATCGGTAAAGCTAACCGAAAGATCATATTTTTACCTTCTTTTTCCCTTTTCAGTTTCGAAAAACAATCCACTTCAGACAGGTGATGTATATGCAGTGTGTATTTCACAGGACATAAATGTGAACAATGGTGGTTGTCTTTTCAGCCATTTATCACATTTTATCGCACTGTCCTTCTGTTGCAGATTTATCCATTTGAAAGAAAATTTTTGTTCACTCTGACGTTCAAACTCGCAAGCACTACTAGACCTTTGAGGAATTCAACATTCTGATCATGAGATTCCTGTAAGGGGACAGGATACAACTCACTTCAATTTGCTCTTCAGATTTGAATGCGAGAGTTGCTTTAGCATGAGAGTGGCTGGCAGTCTGCTTTTATTTTCATGAAACAGCGACATAAACGTATGACAAAGGTAGAATTGCATAGGACCCCAGTCAGTGTTAGAGAGGGACTGATTACTCATGCGAGAATCAATGAGGGACTTAAGTCCGCACTTCAACTCAAATGTCATTTTTTCTATTACTCTTTAGATCCCGTTGTCAGGAGGTCAGGATGTCTAACAGCTCCAATTTCACCAACTCCAGCATTCCTTTCCGTGTTAGCTCACCTTTCATCGCTATACAATATCTGGTGACGTGGTGTATAGTGTACTTGATTATCGCCGCTTTCGCAATATGCGGAAACGTCCTCATCATTTTTGTGTTTTCAAAGAAGCGACACTTGAGGACAAGAACCAACTACTTTGTAATTGGTCTAGCACTTGGTGATATCTTGGTGGGAACTGTAACAATTCCATTGTACGCAACCTTATTAATCTTATTGTTCAATCAAGACTTTAAAGGAGCACACCTCGTTGAAACGATATTCAGCCCGTTGGATATTCTTTCTGGAATGTTATCCATTCTTCATTTGATGACAATCAGTGTTGAGCGTGTGTATGCCATCGCTTTTCCCTTGCGTCATCGCACGTCGTCAGCACGATTCAACTTTATAGTGCTTGGGATTGTTTGGTTAACAGCCGCTAGCATTGCGTCTTTAAATTTCTTCATCCCAAAAGGACCCGAGTGGAAGGGTACTTTCCTTATATATTCAACACTTGGCTTTTTTGTGCCATTTTCAGTCATTTTCTTTGCTTACACTTCAATTTGGATCGTAGTTAAAAGTAGAACAAAGATACCGCGAAACAGGGCTCGTGTTGTGAAAAAAGAAAGTCGTACTGCAATTACCATTTTTGCTTTAATTCTCCTCTTCCTCGTCACGTGGTTGCCATTTTTCAGTCTCAATTTAGTGTTGTTCTCATGTTCGACTTGCGCAGCCGATGTGTCAATCCAGGTTGTTCTGTTCTTCAAGGCGCTACATTACAGCGGGTCAGCATTAAATCCTTTAGTATACTCAGCGCGCATGCCTGAGTTTCGAAGGCCAATCACTATTCTTCTCAAAGAGAGACGATTGACCGGATCTTTTTATCGTCAATCGACTGACCGATATTCCTTCAGAAGAACGAGTTCTCGGCGTTATGATGTTGAGCTGTCTGACCTTCATGAAGGACAGAGCACTTGTAGTGGAAGTGAAATTATTGGGGTCACCTCAAATGGAAATGACTCAGAAAAGTAATGATTTTAGAATTCACTATATATAATTTCGCAAAATGCTTTTGATTACAATAAACATATGACTTGCTAAATACTAATAGAAGTAGCCATATCAAATTCAATATTCATTTTACTGTTTATAAAGCTGGGCAAAGTGAGTTAAAATTCACTATATCACTGAGAGAATCTCCAGTTACCCTATGATCTCGCCAGCTCATAAAAGAATCTACCTTGGTCTGTCGCTACCTCAAAGTAGTCAGAAAGAAACAGGGTTCTAGATATTAAGTAATTTATGTCTCAATAACGCGTAGCCTATGTTTACAATTCTTGATTTGATTCCTCAGTTCTGGGAGACGTACAGTGGATTGGAAGATAACAGACTTGTAGAGGCTCAATGAAAATAGATAAACCAAATATTGTCGCTAAACGGCATCATTAAAGGTATCAGTCAGCCTGGAAATAAAGCCCTTGCTATTGTTTAATAAGATGGGCTTTTAAACAGAGTGGTTTAAAAGTATATTCGAGTGGGCTTATAACCAGAATTAGATTTAAAAGCGAAAACGGTTTCGAAACGAGTTATTATAGTATTTATTGATGTATATCAGTATCTGGATCAACAATAAAATGAACTGACACTTAACGAGATAAGACGGAAAGCCAGACGTTTTCCTTGGAGTCGATCTTTGTAATGCAATTATCAGAACTTTATTAGATAGAATAAATATATGAAAATCAACTTTATTGCCACCCAAAGTTCTGCTTCGATGGGTTGGGGAAGAGTATCGGAGTTAGTGAGAAAGCTTTTCTTTAATTTGGAAGGGGGGTGACTTCAAGCTACCCCTGGTATATGGGGGAGGCGCTGATAAGCGGCAGTTTGTTATCTTGTTTGGAGAGGTTTACGTCATGGCCACCGCAGCCGTTGTTATTCGATCTGAGTCAAGAGAATACGAACTGTTGATATTCTCTTAATCTGATGATTGAAGAGATGTGCGCGCTCTGATTGGTCGAGAATTGAGTCATTAATATAAAACTGGATCATTGGATAATGCAATTGAAGAGTTTCCATTGGCTTAGCCATCATGGGTTGAGCCCTTATGCCCTGCGCGCGCATAGAGACGAGTCAAACTTTACTTTAATCAGTTTTTCAACAAACTTGACACATATACAAAGCTGAGGGAAAGGCCAAGAAACAGGAACAGATTCCCTTACAAAAGGCCACCCAAAAAAGAAAAACACTACACATACACTCCGACGCTCTAATATCTGTACATTGTAACATCCGGTTTCTTCTAACAAAATAAAGTCGAGAAGATTTGTCTAATATCTTGGGGGCGCTTTTTTTAATAAAACAATTATTCCACTCGCGCTTGTTGGATATGAGATGATTATAGCCAACGAGGCGCNGCAGAATTTACTTTTGTAAAGATGTGGTCATGCCATGCTAGTGTGTGATGTAGCATTATACCTAGATCTTTTTCCGTGTCAGATAGGAGTAATTGTTTCGTACCAAGATGATAGATATTGTGGATTGGTTTTTTCTTCCTTGTTATACAGAGCTGTTTGCATTTCTGTGAATTAAAGTTCATTTCCCATAGTTTACTCCAATCATGTAGAGCTGACAGATCGTTTTGGAGGGTGTAACAATCATTAAGGTCGTTAATCACTCTGGCACACTTTGCATCATCTGCATAGAGGGGAAGACTGGTACCAGTAGAAAGGTTTTCCGCAATGTCATTTACATATACAAGAAATAGAATGGGGCCAATGATAGATCCTTGAGGAACTCCGGAAGTAACTGGCTTCCAGTCTGACGCAATGCCTTCGATGAAGACTCTATGACGTCTATTTGTAAGATAGTCTTGATCCAGGCTAATAATGGATTTAGAAAGCCAAGCATTTCGAGTTTATACATAAGTTTCTTATGTGGTACCCGGTCAAAAGCTTTTGTCATGTCCAGGTATATGACATCAGTTTGACCACCCGAGTCAAGTGTTTTTGCCAATGAATGAATATATTGAACAAGTTGGGTGACGCAAGATTTATGTTTTCTGAAAGCATGTTGTTCTGGGTGAAGAAGGTCTTCGACATGGCTGTAAATGTGGGTATGGACACATCTTTCAAGTCCTTTTAACATAATGGACAAAAGTGAGGTACCTCTATAATTGGTAACTACATCTTTTTGACTAGATTTAAAAACAGGGGTGAGATTTGAGTCTCTCCATTTCTCTGGGAAAACAACACTTATTAATGACTTGTTGAAAATTGATGTAACCGAGTCACTTCAGAAGAAAACTCTTTCAAGAACCTGGCAGTTATGCCATCTGGTCCAGGACTTTTTGATGGGTCCAGGTTTTCGAAGATGGATTCAGTTACCTCAGAAACAGAAACAGCCACAGTTGAAATTTCATGAGTAGGTAAAACAGGGTGAGATCCCGGTGGTGGAGGTTCAGCATAAGCATGACTATAAACTGAGTGGAAATATTCAATAAAGAGTTTTCTAGATTTTGATTTAGTGCTATAAAAGCTCCAGAACTTCTTGGGTTCCTTTTCAACAGAATCAGCAAGGTTATTGAGGTAGTCTGAGTACTTTTTGAGGATCAGTTTCTTTTCGTTTCATCTAAGAGATTTAAAATTGTCGATATGGTCTTGGTTTTTTTTTATTTCAATGCTCTTCGACTGGCCTTGTCCTTTTTTCTACTCAGTGCCTTTACTTCAGAGTCTATCCAGGGGGGTGTCTGCTTGTCCCTGACCCTTTTGCGAGGAACAAATTCATTCACTGCTGCCCAGAAAAGGTCCTCCCACTTAATTACGTTCATGTTTATGTCATCATCTAACATAGCAACATGTCAAGGTATATAGGACAGGGTTTTCCTCAGTTCATCCATGTCTGCTTTTTTGAAGTTTAAAATTTCTTTGGGCGTGGCTCTGAAGCATGTAGGTTTGATAGAGATACTGAAAAATATACTGAGATGGTCGGAATGTAAGAAACCCGCGCTCAAGGACAGATCAGCAAGTCAGGCGTAGAAGTCAAAACCAAGTCCAGAATATTTTTACCACGAGTAGCAGAAGTAATTACTTGAGTGAGGAATAGGTCGTTTATGATTTCGTAGGTCTTCAGGTAAAGTTGATCAGTGGAGAGGTGTATTTGATTTATCCAGTCAAAGTCAGACAGATTAAAATCTCCAACAGGGAAAATCTTATTGAAAGTCAAGTTGTTAATACGGGAGCAAGATTCTTGAAGGAGAAGCACGTATTCTATACCAGTATTTGGGGGACGGTAGAAGACACCAAACAGGAGCTTAAGACCGGAGGCAGTTTGCAGTTCATTCCACATTAGCTCACAATCAGTTTCCAGATCGTATCTTCTAACTACCACAAAATCATTCCGTGATGCAAACAGAATTCCTCCACCTTGACGATCCTGACGATCTTTCCTGAGTAGCTGGTAACCTGAGGGAAGGATTTCATGGTCAAGAATACATGAGTTTAGCCATGTTTCAGTAACGGCGATGATATCCAGGTCAGTGCTATAAACTGCAGCTTGAAAATCCAGAAGTTTTTTTGTACGTTGTAACATTTCGTTTATTCTTACAAAATAAAGTTAGGAAGATTTATCTATATTTCGAGGAGTTTCTAATTAAAAGAATCTTCCACTTGTGCTGATTGCAGCAAACTGGGTCCTTAGCTATCTATCATCTCATATCCAATAAGCGGGAGTAGAATCACCACGCGCGAGGTGGTTATAGCAGGGGCGCTAAATTTCAAAATGGCTCCCTCACATTTTGTTAATGTTACGCAAGATGTGATAAACGCGATAGAAGTAAATGAAATTCTGAAGAGCACAAAATATGCTACTAAGTCTGGCGTAACACTTTCAAAAGAAAGATAATTAAGTTTTTGCGGACTAAATTCAATAACCAGTTAAATTCTCGTGGAAACTGACTGCTTATCTCGATACGAGTAATCAAAAGAATTGTAACATAACGGTTTTTAACAACAAAACAAATTTACAACAAAAATCGACAGCACCTGAGCAATAATACTAATTAAAAACAATCTGAGCAATAACACTAATTAAAAACAATCATTCTCCTTAGGCTCAGTGAATATTATTGGATAATCCCCTCGACTTCATTTTGGAGATTATTCAACAATATTCACTTGCCTTCGGCAAATAATTGTTCAATGTTTTTCGTGTCACACAAAAATCACACTTCAGTTAGGCTTGATACTGGGTATTTATGTGTTTCAGTTATGGTATTTTAACAGCTACACTCACCGCTGCCTCAGTTTACGACTCCTCGCTCTCATCATCTATTCAACTCCGACATACGCTGACTCCATCCCAGAAGAGCAACGCTATTGTTAGCAAAGTAATAGCTACCATGTTTTTGTCATATTTTTATTGTACTGTACAATAAATCCATTTAGCCCTATATTTATTTATGCGAAGGAACGCAAGGAGCGCTTGACTACATTTCGTCTGGGTTTTCAACAGTATTTATTATTCAAGAACGAACAAATTTATCCAAAACAAAACAGTTAAATCAAAGGTTTGACGTGGAATTCGTTCTTAGATTTATTTAGCAATTTTAAAAGACTCAGTTAGAGTAAAACTTGCTGGAATATCGTCGTTCAATCTTTCAAGCGCACTTTTCCGGTTAAATTAAATCTAATCGATGCAAGCATTTTTCTAAATTGCTATTAAATTACCACAAAAATGAAATCTGTAATTAACAATTATTCCACAAGCGCGCGTTGGATATGAGATGATAGATAGCCAACAAGGCGCGTAACGCCGAGTTGGCTATAATCATTTCATATCCAACAAGCGCGAGTGGAATAATTGTTTTATTATAAAAAAGGCCCCCAAGATATTAGGCAAATCTTCTCGACTTTATTTTGTAGGAAGAAACTGGAAGTTGCAATGTACAGATATCAGATTATGGTATATTGGCTCATATACCATAATGGCTAAGCCAATAAAAAGTCTTGAATTGCATTATTCAATGATCCAGTTTTTAATAATAAATTTTATAAAGTTGAAGGTTGTGGACAGTTTACATTGTTGGTAAATGACAGTTGCGGCTGAGCAAATACATTTACTTGCTTATATGAATTGAAAAGGTATTGTAACACAAAGAACTGCCCGGTGACGATAAAGCCGATTTGCTCTTCTCACTTTGGACTTTTTTCTTCACTAATTAATATCCTATAACTAAAGAAGAATCTGCATTTCGATATTGAATTTCATTTGGAACCGATGATGCACTCTTTGGTACCATCTATAACAAGATTTTGATTTGCAATTTACTATTTTTGCATTAAAACAAATTTCGTCGAGAAAGTCGGTGATAAAGACGAGAGCCCGCACACCAGACGGTAGCTTCGCAAGTTAGCTCCGGTGGGATCTCGTTAACCTTGCTAAGTTCTAGATCTCCGTAATCTGCCACTCTGTTTGCGATACTTGTTTATTTTCTGCAAAGTAAGACACTTTTTGTTATTTCGTGCATATAAGAAAGCCATGATTCCTTAGTGACAAAGAACAAGGTGTGATGCAGGCGACAAGCTACAAATTCAAGTTTCGCTCTGATTTAGGAAGGCAATTTAAGAGTTCTTCATGACGGTTTTACGGTAAGAAAAATATTTTATCAGTCAGCAGAGATTTTCACTCAAATATAGATGACTAATCAGCTAGTTAGCAAAAAAAAATTTAAGTTTGGATTATGAAATACAAAACCTCCGTAGTTTGTTGTTCGAAGAAAGAAAACAGATTCTACATCTACATCTACATTTATTAGTCTTGCAAAGGGGGGCCATCACGCAAGTAATAAAATAACAATAACAATTAACAAAATGAGATAAAAAATGTAAAGATAAATGATATATATATATATATGTTAAAGGTTAAATTCCTCTAATTGCATCTTTAAAATTAATTAATTTATCAATTCCTAAAACACTATTTGGTAAGGAGTTCCAGTCTTTGATTGTTCTACAATAAAATGAATTCTTATACGTTTCAGTGTTCGGTTTTATTTCTATGAATTTATCCTTATGATATGATCTTAATTGACGGTTTTTCCTCTTGATATAATTTGGGAGTTCCATCTGGACTTCGCCATGGAGAATCTTGTAGAACATGGTTAAACGTGCAGACTTTCTTCTTTTCTGTAATGGAGGCCAGTCCAAATCATTTAGAAGATTTGATACAGTCCCTGGTTTACGCTCCCAACAATTTTTTACAAAACGTGCAGATCTTCTTTGAAAAGCTTCAATTTGATTTACGTGTTTGTCCTTCCAGGGGTCCCAGACTGCGCTTACGTACTCGAGATGCGGTCGAACTAAGGATTTATATGACAGTTCTTTGATAGATTCAGGACATTTTCCAAGATTCCTTTTTAAGAAATCCAAAGATCTGTTTGCCTTATTAGTCTTCATATCAATATGATGACTCCAGTCTAGTGAACTTGACAATTCCACCCCAAGGTATGGATAGTGTGACGCAGACTCCAAAGTATGACCCATCAGCTTGTAATCGAAAATTATTGGATGAGATTTCCTGGTGACTCTCATAACAAAACATTTGCTGGGGTTAAATTGCATGAGCCATTTTTTTGCCCATTGTTCAATTGTAGAAAGATCAAGTTGGAGTTGACCAGCGTCCAGAGTCGATTCAATGATACTATAGAGGAAGGTATCATCAGCAAATAATCGTATAGCAGAACTGCAGTTATCCCCAATATCATTTATATAGAGAAGAAACATTAGGGGACCTAGGACTGTCCCCTGGGGAACACCAGATGACACATGGACTGCAGGAGAAGATACTCCATCTACTACAACAGATTGTTCTCTACATGTTAGCCAAGTAGTTATCCAGCTTTTGAGATTACCCCTTATTCCATAATAGTCAAGTTTACTAATTAATCTCTAATGTGGGACAGTATCAAATGCCTTGGAGAAATCCATAATGATTAGATCTGATTGATCTATGGTTGATTTTATGCTTTCTTTCACCCAGAATATTGACAAATTTCAATCTCGTTGAAGCCCTTCAGTTTTATTTGCTAAAACAGTTGTAGAATGTGCAGAAGTGAATCTTTGAGCCTTATCATTATAACTAATGTATGACTCCGGTTGCATTGGACGAACAAGCCTCTACAAGTAACATTTTAGGGAAAAGTTTAGTTGGGATATAGCTGACCAACCAAAAAAATGGAACAGAAACTTACATCAATTATAGGAGTATAAGGGAATGTTATTCATACAAGAATCGCATCATTGAATACAATCTCGCATTGTGATTGGTTAACGAAGCGAGGTATTTAGCGTGGAATTGCGAGTTGAAAACAAGGCTAGTGAAATTGTTTCGCATCTACGTAAGCATAACAACTATCGTCAAATCGTATGATGCACGATCCTTCGCAGTAGATAGTGCTATTTATGCAATAGCAAAAATCAGACCTGAAAAAAATCAGGCCTGTACGGGATTCGAACAACTGACCTCTGCGATACTAGTGCAGCGCTCTACCAATTGAGCTAACAAGCCAACTGGGAGCAGGCCGTTAAGTTGATTCGTAATAAACCCGTGATGATAAATCAGATACAATGAATATATGAAGTTCATATATTTTGAACTGCGGTATTAAATACGTATGATGCACGATCCTTCGCAGTAGATAGCGCTATTTATGCAATAGCGAAAATCAGACCTGAAAAAAATCAGGCCTGTACGGGATTCGAACCACTGACCTCTGCGATACTAGTGCAGCGCTCTACCAATTGAGCTAACAAGCCAACTGGGAGCAGGCCGTTAAGTTGATTCGTAATAAACCCGTGATGATAAATCAGATACAATGAATATATGAAGTTCATATATTTTGAACTGCGGTATTATAGATTCCAACGTAGTGATACAGGAATGTCAACAATTGGCGGAAGATTTTAAGCATTTGACTAGTCTGAGCGAATGGATGAATCCATTTCCGGTTCTATCAAGTACCTTCCGCACATTCTCGGAACTTCTAGATTAGTTTGCAATTCTCTAGTATTTTTGTAGCCAAAATGCGAACATTTACCAATTCGTTTTTATTCATCTTCTGGTAAATTTGTTCTTCATGAATTAATCCTCTTTCTGGCTGGGCCTATCCGCACTGATGCAAATTCGACGAACGGTGATGACAAAGCAGGCCTAAGCAGTTCACAGAGCACATCGCTTCAGATGACCTAGCTTAACAGGATAACATCAAACCCAATCGAATCAGTGCGAGTGTTGATTCCTTGATCGATTTTGACATCTTTTCTTTCAAGTTCAAGTTTATATTGACTAATTACTTGTACGGGGTAGAGATCATGAAACAACTTTGCGGACCCGTTTAGGAATCTTTCCCAGAATGGAAAACAGGGTTCGGTCTCTTTCGCGTAGCTTATTTTCCTCTAGTTATCAATTCAATCAGATGCTATTGCAAATACTGCGACAACTCCATTTTTTTTCGGAGGGTACAGAATTGCTTTCAGAATAGGGCTCCAGCTTACTGCAACCACAAATGCCCATCTTGTAATTAGCATCCACAGTCAGAGTTGGCAGGTCAGCGGGATATTTAAACTATTCACGTAAGACATTCAATTTTGGCGGGAACTCGTTACCTGTAAGAAAACAGAAGTACAATGTATTAGAGGTCCGCCATTCCGACCCGGCTCGTTATACAATGGCCGCTTTTACCTAGCTGATGATTTCTCTATAGTAGATATCAATAATCTAAGACTTTGTATTTCAGCTTCGTAGCTTGTGTAATATTACAATGCAGAGGCGGATCCAGGAATGTTTGATTG